ATTTCCTCAATACATCTGTGCCCTTACCCACCTCCATGTCTTGTGTTACTTGTTGCTTAAATTCCTTTCTTCTTCCCCATGTAGACACACTCAAACCCTTTCTCCAAGTGGCAAAATCCCAACTGTATAATACCTTCTTTTTCTCTTTCTTTCCTATTACTTCATAGCATCTGTGCTTCTTCCATCAGTTGCAAAGCACGTATATCATGCTGCACTGTAGTCACTTGTCACTTGGCTGCCATAATAGTGCGATGGTATAACTGACTGGAAGGCACTTTGTAGGTGAAGAGTAGAACCTCTGAAACAGCCCCACAGCAGAGAAGTCTGCAGCACTCCTGGTGGGAAAATCAAGCCACCCTGGCCCAGCTTTTATTGATACCCTAACAAGGATGAAGTTCCCATTCAGTACCTGTGAAACTGTCTTTTCCTTTCTCAGGAAAGGCTTATTAACTAGGCTGATACCCTTCCCTCCCAAATGCTCAGACCATTCACCAGTTGCAAGTAACTGCAAGTAACTCACTCTCATTCCTCATTGTGTACTGTGAGAACCAGTATTTTCTCTAGGATCACTCCCAGTCATGCCATCCCTGGGCTTAAAGTCTATTCCTGCAGCTTCTGTAAGTGGAATAATTTTTTCTATGAAACCAGAAGATTCATTGCAACTCTTAAGGCAAGATCATTTATCCATCCTACGAGGGAAGACCATGAAGATAATGTGTTCTGGAATACAGCTCCCAAAACATCTCTCAAAAAATTGTTCTCAAAAATTATAAGTATGAAAACTTCATTGAGGAAAAATGCTCTGTCATTTGAAGCTGTCTTCAAAGTTTGAGAAATGTGCACTTGGGAAAGACAGGAAAATAATTATGGAAAAGATTGACATTAATAGACAAATAGGAAATTGGAAACATAATTTTGAAAGCCTGTAAATGTATATATGATATAGGGTTGATGGGAGATCTTAGGATATAGTTGCTATACTTGGTTTTGAGTTTATATAGTTGTATATGGTCATGATTTGGAGTGTGGTATGGTCAAAATATTTCCCCAATAAAAAACTATGGTGGAAGGCCTGCCTGTTTTAATATTCCTGTTTCCTGCAATGCCTATCAAAACAGGAGTCACTGACAGAAAACAGCACAACAGGGAATGAATATAAATATCTGGATCCAACTAGTGAGTTTTTCCAGCTATATATGTCCTTGGCTAAATTGTTACATTTGTGAAATGGAAACCATCAGATATACGCTGCCATGAAGTGAACACTGTCCTGGAATTTATAAGGCTCAGGGTCTAGTTCCAGCTCTGCCGCTGATTAGCCATGTCACCTCTTTCAGCCTTACTTTACTCATCTGTAAAATAAAGTCATTCCAAAGAAGTTCGAACTAGAAGGGACTTTGGAGGTTAGAGTTTCTCAGCTTTTAAAATGCAGACTTAAAATTCCCACCCCAAGGGTATTTTACATAGTGATGCTTTCTGAAATGTTTATTATGTTATTATGAGAACCCTAAGCATAATAATTATACTTTTTCAATGCACTTTGTTTTCTACTTGTATTTTTTCCCACTTTTATTGTAGGTTAAGGGGGTTACATGTGCAGGTTTGTTACAAAAGTATATTCAAAACAACGTTTATTCCTCACAATTCTGGTGTCTGCCTGTGCTGCCAGTCACAATGATTCCAGCTACCCTGGTGTAAGTTTTGATCCTGTCATTGCCTCTCACTCTTTCTTCACTTCCAAGTTTCCTATGGGAGCTTTTTTTCTTAGTTGTTGAGTTTATCTTTAGGTCTTTGTTGCCTACTATTTTCATCTTGTAAGCTTTTGCTAACAAAACCTGCAAAAGATGAGCCCGTGTGTCTTACCTTCTCTTCTGATCTTAAGCCTCATTGTTCTGGCTTTCCCGGTATGGTTTCAGCTACCTTCCTAGCCTTACTTCGGTCCTTAAATGTGTGTATTCTGGACTGTAGCCTAGATTAGTCAGTGTTTCCTGAAGATAGCTCACATGTCACTACCCAGTGCCCCTCCCTCCTCCTTTACTTATCAAAGCTCAACCCATCTTCCAAGAGTCATCTCACCCACTTTCCCGAGCCTCTCAAGCACATGAATATCCGTGGGATTTGGTTTGCATTTTGCAATGTACTTATCATACATATTTAAATAATAGAAGGTTCTTGAAAATAATGGCAGTTGTATCTGACACAACCTCATATGACCCAAAGATCCTAGTACAGCTGTGTTTTCAAACTTTAGACCACGATCCACATCGAGGTAGATATTTACATTGTGGCTCAATATACCTATTAATGTAGATATATTTGTAATTGAAACAAAGCCTTTATAATACATATTCTTATTATATTTGGTGCACTGTTTTCTTTCTTTTCCGATTTAATTTATTTTTATGCTCCTCTAAATTGATTTCACAACCATTAGCCACAGTTGTAAAAAACACCATAATGTAACACACTGCACATAGTACGTATACTGTTGTACATGTTT